CACACCACTACACCCCAATGTGGGTGGCGGAGCAAGACCCTGTCTCTAAATAAAAAAAATCCTAATGCCCGAATTCCACCCCATTGGTCTGGGGCTTGGATATCAGTGTTTTTTAAAACCTCCTCGGGTGATTGTAATTTGCAGCTGTGGTTGAGAACCACTGAACTAGGTTATCTCGAGGTCTCTTTCCAACCCTAAAATATTATCAGTCAAATTTATCTAAACCCTTCTTGGAACTATTTACATGTTCAATGTGTAGGAGTAAGACATTGTTAAGTTTATTACCTGCTGTGCGAAAACTTTCTTGAATTTGTCCTGAAGTTACCCTTTCTTTGAGTGACCCAGGCTTGAGCCTCTTTCACTTTCAAGCATTGGCATCCTCTAGCTCTGTGGTCCCCAACCCCCAGGCCACAGACTGGTGGCCTGTTAGTAACTGGGCCGCAGAGCAGGAGGGGAGGAGCAGCAGCAGCAACAAAGCTTCATCTGTATTTACAGCCGCTCCCCATAGCCCCCATCACTGCCTGAGCTCCACCTCCTGTTAGATCAGCGGTAGTATCAGATTCTCGTAGGAGTGTGAACCCTACTGTAAACTGCGCATGTGAGGGATCTAGGTCGCGTGCTCCTTATGAGAATCTAATGCCCAATGATCTGAGGTGGTGATGCTAGCACTGGGGAGTGGCTGAAAATACAGATTATCATTAGCAGAGAGGTTTGACTGCACAAAAAATGTAATGCATGTGAATCATCCAGAAACCATCCCCTCCACCACCACTCCCTAACCCCAGTCCATGGAAAAATTGTCTTCCATGAAACTGGTCCCTGGTGCCAAAAAGGTTGGGGACCCCTGCTCTAGCTGCATCCTGGAGTGGCTGCTTCTCCACTCAACCTCCCTTCCTCAGGATTCTGACCTTTGCCACGGCCCCTATCGCTGGCTGCAGATCCCTTCCTAAAGGGCCCGTGACCACAAGTCCCAGCAATATGATGCCACCAGTTCCATATGGCTCTCAGGAGAGAGGGGTGAACTGAGCAGGCCATGCTCCTCTTTAAAGCTTCTTCACTTCATTCCCTGCACTTCCACCCACAGCTCAGCGGTGTCCCAGACTCCCAGGGGCCCCACTTGAGGATGCACCCCAGTTCCTAGACTAGCTCCCTGCCCTCCAAAGAGAACACTTCCTTCTTTGCACAACCACGTTGCAATTCTTTACCCCACCCCCTTTAGAGAAAATGATGCCTCCCTACAAACTAATCCCTCCCTCGGAGTCACCCCTTTCCTCATTAGGGCAATCCCAGGACTTCAGTAATCCACAGCAGAACTCCCTTCAAAATCTGAGTTAATTGACCAAGAATTACACAACGGGCGGGGAAGGGGGTGGCTTCAGTAGGACAGTCCCAGGTGAGCTTTGGCATTCCAGGTCCAGTCTGACAGGTTAAGGGGCAGAGGTCTCCCCTTTCCTCCTGATTATCCAGGTGGCAGCTAATGGAGCGCGCGCGCGCGCGCACACACACACACACACACACACACACTTTCATATTTCCCAAATAACAATGCTATGTTCTCTGTCCATATTAAGCAAGAGAAACTGTTTTCTAAAGTATGACCTAATGGACACAGATTTATGTCCTCAATAGGTTTCATACTTTATTATCATGCAAAGCTGCATGGTCTCAGATTTGTTCATCTTCCAGCCCCTACATCTTTCCCAGGGGCCTATAGGAGTATAGGGAATGAGGCCAATTACTCTGCCTGTAAAGTACAGAGACACCTGGTGCTGACTGGCGACCTCTGGCCATACTAAAATTGAGCCCCCAGGGCTCAGAGATACCCCACTGACCAAATGACCATTTTAGGCAGGGCATCTCCATGCCTCATCTGTAAGAGGAAGGGAGCCTGGGCAGCCTCACCAGTGGGTTGCACTGGAGGTTCGTTATATAGGCTTTGAGGATTTGGAAATGATGGTAGCTCCATGTTTACTTTGATCTACTCATTCATGATTTCATTGGCATTAATCCTAACTCTTTTTAGCCTTTATCTTTCTAGACTGAATAATCATTTTTAAAAACATTTTCTATCAACAGGTAGCCTCCCCCTCCCTCCTCCCTCTCTTCCTTATCTCCTATACCTTGCTCCCACATGTTCACCTGCAGGCTTAGGCCAGCTGCCAGGATGTCAGGCTCTGGCCATTGCTTGAGGTAATAGTTTCCAAATGTTTACTGCCTTCAGCTTTGTCTCGTCTTATCTCTGTCAGCCTTCGAGAGTTGACCCCTAATTTAAGTTTCCCAATAATTTGAAAATCAGTCCATGCCCATCTTAGCTGAAATTCTCAGAGTTTTAAATTTTTAAAATCACATCCCCTTTTAACTATTGATTTTGCATTTTGAAGGCAGGTAGTCAGTCTTGCATATGGTGAGCACTTAATTAACATTTTGTTTTATTAATCTCTCTAATGGTTCTAAATAACAAAATTATTCCTTCTTTTCAACTTTCATTTATAATTTTATTCAATGCCTTTGTGGTATGAGGAACTGGCTACAGATATACATGTGACTGTTAGGGCAAAAGATCAAATTCCAAAAAAAGATTATTCTTCCAGGTATTGGGAGCAGGTATTGGGAGTTCAGACTGAAACATCAGATAACCTGAGTTAGAGAACTTTTACCCTGATTCTGTAACCTCGGGGAAGTTATTAAATCTCTCCAAGCTTCAGTTTCATCATCTACAAAAATGAGGACGATAATATATACCTTGTGTGGTTTCTTGAAGATTAAATGTGATAATGCCCACAGAACTGGCCCACAGAGAGAGCTTAGTCCACGCAAGCTATTATTATTGTGCTTTTAGGTCCTTCAAGTGAACAATTCAGACATTGAACATGTCAGTGTTCTTCAAGTGTAGTTAGAGAACCATCTTTATCAGAATCAATTGAGGTACGTTTAAAACATGCAGGCGCCTGGGTGCCACCCCAGACTTCCTGAATCATGCTTTCTTATGCTAAGGCACCTGCATTTTCCCCAACATCCTGGGTATATGTTGGTGAGAGACATTTTAGATTGTCCCAGTGCTGCTGCTGATGTTTTACCTGCTGCTACGGGTTCCTGAGCTGTTTTGTGCAAGCTGCGGCAGCTAAGACTGGGTGGGCAGCATCCTTCCACTTAGAAATGCATCAGGTGACCTGTTGGCCCAAATTTCTGGAAAGCTATTAAAGACCATTTTGAGTTGGAGTCACAGATTGTGATGCACAGCAGCTATGTTTGCCCTTGTCTGACATTCCTTTATAAATCCTTTTCTATACCAGATTTAGGCAAGAACTAGGGGCATGTGAAGAAAGAATAAGAGATAAAGAGGTAGGAAAATGCTGTCTATTAGAGCTGCGAGAGAATTGATGCAGGAGGCAGAGGGTCAGAGTGGGGAATAAAAAGAAAAAACAATGGCATCCAGAAAGGGGATATATTGATGCCAACCACTGGACATCTTCGGATTCTTTGCTCTTTGTCCCTTGGGAACAGCTGCTGAGGTGGGGTGGAGAGTGTGAAGGGGATCTGGTCTGTGTGAATAGATACTTGTTGACAACAGGCCAGTTTCAATTCAGTTTCAAGCCATTACAAATTAGTTTTATTGGCATCTCCGAAAAGCAGCAATTGTTCTATTTCCCTGGCATAATTATCCCATGGATCAGGCTGCAACTTGCCCTGTTTGCCCAAGCCTTACTTGAGTCCCCAGGGAGGTGACAGTCAGATGGTGTAATTTTGAAACCATATCCATCTCCTGATAGGAAGAAGCCCACCTCGGTGGTCATTAGCTTCTTCCCTTGGGTCTCCAGGATGTAGAACCTGTAGCCTGGCAGCCCTTGTGCTCGGCATCTTTGTGTACTACAGACAGTCCCTCACTTTTGGGGAGGTCTGACTTCGTTGTGATGGGAGCACACCTTTGTGTGTATTAAGAAGCTGGGGCTTAATGATTCCATAGGTTCCTGAACAGCCTTTCACAAGTGGTGGCTCAAACTTTTCACCACTGGGGAGTAAGGGGCAGGGCTTTGGTATCCTTCAGACCCAAGTTTGGGTGCATACTGGCTGGGCAATATTGGACAGGTGACTTTACTCCTCATTTTGTTATTGATGTTGTTGTGAAGATTAAATGAGATAATGTGGGAAGAAACCCTTAGACACTTCGGACACACAGGATAGGCTCAGAAAATGGTAGAAGTGGCTAGTGGTCTGCTATCAATATTGCTGCCATTGTGCTCAAACTTGGGATATGGAAAATCCACCCCCCTCCCCCAGATTTCACTTCAGGGATTCAGTCCTGTGTCCTAATGCCCTCAGAGAACAGGATTTGACAGTATAGTCTTGCATAGGCAGATTAAATAACTCTTTACCTTGAAAGGCAGCTGGGCTTCTTCAAATAGATTAATCAGAGGAAGTAAACTCTGAAGTCCAGTTGTAAACAACATGGTTGGTTGTATAAATCAATTAGTAATCACAAGTGATGTATATTTAAGGACGTACAACAGAAATTCAGAAATCTATGGTAACAATGACTTCTAAATTGGCCTGCCTCAATGGTATGGCAGATCTCAAGGGAGAGAAGATCAAGTATATGCTTAAAAAGTTTACAAAGAAATCCTTTAGAAAATAAAAAGAATTGCCTACAAGTTAATGTTGCTGTAGGTAAGATGTGCTTTTTGGTCATATTAACGTTTAATTGACTAGTGTTATATATGAGAAGCTAATGAATTATGACTGTCTTCTTCTCATATTGCTGCAAGATGTACACTCTCATTTAGAGCTCAGGCAGATTTTTCCTTTTCACCATCACAGCTGTGTCTACCCTCCACCCCAAGGGCACTAAGGCATCTCACCACATTGCAAATCAAAATAATTTTAAATTCATGAATCAATCAGATTAGAACACTGAAGATGAATTAGTAATTTCCAGAATTAATTGATAATATTCAATCAATTAGAAACTACCATTGGAAATTAAAAAAATAACCCAACATTTTGTAATACAAAATTATTTATTAGTAAAAAAAAAAAAGACAGAATTTGTTCGTTACACAGAAAAGTAAAACAATTGAAAGTTCCCTATAAAAATTTTAACTGTGAGCATACAAAGTAGGAGTGACACTGTGACCAGGTTTGAGGACTTCATATTTATGCCTAAGTGAGCATCAGAAAATTGCAAATGGTGACATGTAAACGGTGCTTGTGATATTTGTTAATGAGTTGTATATTTCGAAGTGTCATCTAGATGTGGTAGAAAAACAGATATACCCATGCCATGTTCCAAATGAGTGTAATTTCTATTAACTATAGCAGATGTCACAGTTTGTTTCCCTCTTATAGAAATCACTGGCGGCTGCTGTTGAGGGGGCAAGTTCCACACAGTCTGTACTGGGATAGGAAAAGTACTCTGACGCTCGGAGAGCATCCAAGTGCTCTGCCTCGCAGGAGGCGCAGTAGCAGACGGAGGCGGTGGCCGAGGAGAAGCAGTTGTACTGGGTGTGCGAGGGCAAGTGATGGGAGAAGTAGTCTTCTGAGGGGTAGCCACAGTGTCTGGTGTCCAGAGAAGGGGGAGAAGTGTAATTCTCCGGAGCATATGAAGGCTGCTGAGCTGGTGAGTAACTGTAGTCTAAGGAGCCAGAGAGAGTGGAGGAATCTGAAGGTGATCCTGGGGTCTAGAGAAACAAAAACCAAGGAACAAAGAGCTTGATAACTTAGACAGGATCAAAAGAAGTGAACAGTGTGGATTTATTAGCACAGACTAAGAAAATCAGGAGTAAAAACAAAGCAACACCCAACCCAAGTCTGCAGAAGCAATTTTATTTGCTGACTGTATGATTTCATGACACCATATTCTATGTTTACCTATTTCTTTCCCAACAATAAATTGCCTTGCTTCACTGGCTTCCTTTGTTATAACCATACTTTAGAGGATGCTTTGTTCTTAAACCACAAAATCTCATTGTGCTTCAAGTCACCTGCGCAGCAAATCCTGCTGTGCGCCACAATATCAGCTGCAGGTGGCACCTTGGCTATTTCTCCACACGCTCACCACAGAGAACCAGGTGATCATGCAAAGGTAGACTTTGGATCCTTAAGGACCCAGTGTCTGGCTACTCCAAGACAAGTAACAATCCTTCCTGCCACTTAAGTTCTCTGGGGGGAAGGTACCATCTGCTTTCTCTTAAGCAAGTCTACAGTGGTTACCGAGAAAGCCTCACTTGGAGGCTGGAAGGGAACTGGGTCATTGTGGCCCAGTATTTTCCCCATGATGACATGCGTATTCTGCAGAGTTAATTCTCTATCCCCTGTAAAATTTAGTCTGAAGCCTACCCAGGCTTTTGACAATCCCCCCCAAAAATTCTTAAAACAATTTTACATCTTAAGGTTTAAAAAAATGGTGAGTCTCTAAAAGACATCTAAAATAACTAGGATCTACTAATAGAAACCTTACTTCAGTTTAAAGGATAACACATTTTTGGACATTTGAGATCCATCAAGAGCAGACAATCCAAATTCTTTCAAAGATAAGGGCTTCATTTTTACTAACCATCTCAGACCCAGCTGAGTTCTTGTGCCTATAGCAGATCAAAACAACCGGTTCGTAGAGCCAGTTCAGTGACAAAACAAAACAAAAACCCCTCTATCAAAATGAAGTTTGGTATTGTGTACACACAGCCTTAATTCCATTTGCAAGAACTCAAAAATCCAAGGGCCATTATTTAAACCAGTGACTTGCAATTAGCAGGTGTCTTAACTTCACAGTTTAAAAAACATTAAATGAATATTGCCTGGAACCTCTTTTTATTGCCACACACCAACTTACTTGGGAGGGGCCTACTTGGGAAATAAAAATTATGTGTGTATTCTAAGGCTTATGCCCTGCAATGTGTGGCTACCTCCACATGTTGACTTTTAAATGGTTCTCTACTTGTTTTCTCAGATGATTTCCTCCTTACCAGTGTTTGTATGATTTCTCACGAGATGATGCAAACTCACCAACAAAGCGTTACTACCCCGTATTTTGCGACAATCAGGTTATATAAAGAACTGAGATAAATTACCAGGCTCTCATTAAAGCAGAAAGGGGCAGCCTGGAAGCCGTCTGGGAAATAGTGTGGGGCACTTTGCGTGGAATTGAGCTCCGGGTGCGTCTCTGACTGAAGGTAAGAATCAAAGATCTGGTCAAGGCAGCTTGGGTTTTCTTCACAAGAAACACAGCTGGAAAATTCTCGGGGATGAAAATAATTGGGCGTAGAAGAAATCGGTTCAGGCTCAAAATACAGTCCTAGAGGAGAAAGGAAAAAGACATATTTTTGCATAAAAATTGCACTTAGGGATTTGGAGTTCTAGCTTCTGAATAATTACTATACCTAGGGGAAAAGGGGGCTTGAGATGTTCCAGAAAAGTAAATAGGAAGGCAATTTGGATTTTTTAGTTGCCTTAGCTAATTCAAGTCCCAGGGGAATGCGTCCGGTTAATAATGTGGAAATCGGCTATAAATGTGGCTAGGGCAAAAATAAAAGAATGGTGACCCAACCTGTGCCCAAGTGTCACAGTTAAGTAATGGCTCAAGCCTCCACTTTCCTGGACTATAAACACATCGACATCTAGCTCCTAGCAGCAGTTTAAGTAAACCTCCCAGAAGCAGCTGATAGAGTTGTTTGAGGCTTTAAGAAAACTCTTGATGCTATAGGAGATAATTTTTTTGATTTAGGGTGATTGCTTTCCTAAACTTTTCAAACTTACTCAGTAACTTAAATTTTGAGAGAGAGAGAGAGTTTTGAAAAGTGATCTAAATGGCAATGCAAATGATAAACATGGAAACCGGAAACATAGGGTACTAATCAGCACTATTTGTTCTGAATAAGCGAAAATGTTTTCTTAGTGAACATGTAAATATAATAATGTCGTTAAAATAAGTTGTTAAATATACCAAATAAGAATAATTTGGAAAACATTACTCCTTTTCCATTTGAGTGTATTACTAGGCCCAATTCATGATAATTATTCTTTTTTTTTTCTTTTTTTTTGAGACAGAGTCTCACTGTGTTGCCCGGGCTAGAGTGCCGTGGCGTCATCCTCGCTCACAGCAACCTCAAACTCCTGGGCTCAAGTGATCCTCCTGCCTCAGCCTCCCGAGTAGCTGGGACTACAGGCATGCATCACCATGCCTGGCTAATTTTTTCTATATATTTTTAGTTGTCCAATTGATTTCTTTCTATTTTTAGTAGAGACAGGGTCTCGCTCTTGCTCAGGCTGGTTTTGAACTCCTGAGCTCAAACAATCCGCCCGCCTCAGCCTCCCAGAGAGCTAGGATTACAGGCGTGAGCCACCGCGCGCGGCCGTGATAATTATTCTTAAATGCTCAAAGAAGAGAGGTTTAGAGTGTGCCCATCGAAAGTATTAATACTACAGGACACTGGATTTTTTTTTTTGAAGTCTCAAGTTCCTTTAAGGTTAAGCTAAAGTGACACATTCGGTGGAGAGCTACCACAAGCAGAGGTTTCCTTATGTACAGCCTCCTTAAACTCTTAGCTGTTGAGTAGCATAGGTAGGAGTGTTTACGTAATAGAGTTATTCGTATTGGACTGAGAAAACTTACACTTGTTTGAACTACTCTCTGGGAAGAGAAAGGGAAGGGGAGGGAAGCCCCTGTCGGCTGGAAGCTAAAGGAACAGAGCAAAGGCATTTTTCTAGTGCCTCAGCATGTTCTTGTATTCCATCGAATAGTACACTAAAAAAAGATAAGGTTCTGTGAACAATACTGATTTTTTAGTTAAGTTTAGTTACTTGGAGATGGGGACCCAGAATAAATGTGAAGAACAAATTCTTGGGACAAAATAAACAACAGAGAATAGAGAGTTCAGAAATGAGGACAAAAATTTGCACTTGTTTCCTTGCTGGGCTTGCATCTGGAGTGACTATGCCTTTTTCACCTTCTGATTGGTTGGATTCCAATTAAATGGTGGTGCCTATCTTAACCCCTGAATCAAGCACTGGAAGTCTCTCGAGATGGACTTTTGAAAGAGTTTTCGAGGGAATTGTAATGCTGGCTGTACTGACCTGCAGAAGATGGTGCAACTGGGTCTGAAAGGTGGAAACTGCTGCCCCCGGACAGCTGTCAAATCAAGAATATCACCATGAAGCAACGTGAAATGAAAGATCTGTAAAGGGAAAGCTAAGAGATTCTGACGGGAACTGTGTGTCTTTCTGCTATAAGGTAAGCCAGATTCCCTCTTCTCAAAAAATTGCCTTCATTAAATACAACCAATGTTGCATTTTATTTAGATTCAATTTTTATGTTTGCTTGCTTGGGAATTTTTTTTCCCTAATATCAGATTCTCCCACTTAAATTTTAAAGGTTATTAACTTTGATAAAAATTAATGTAAATAATTTTTATGTTACAGATATGTAACACTTTGAGAAAACTCACTGAAGAGCCTTTCTATTAAACTATTTAATTTAAAATTATTAAGGACTAACGTTTTATTTAATCCCAACTATCACTTAGTCAATTATTTTCTCAAAATTTTCATATACCATCTGGCTACTAAGCCTTAGAAATTTATTTACCCCAAAGAACACAATTCCTAACTTTGTTAATCCTGAGCAGCTAAAAATATTCACATCTTCTTACTATATATGAAATAATAAAATAGAAAATATTTTCTTAAAGCCGTAGTTGGTAATTAATGGTCAAGAAATATTTCAATTCTTTGTACGTTTTTTACTATTTTCTATAAAAGTTGCTTTTCTCACTACTGTCTTTAAATACTTAACAGTTTATGAGACTGCTCCTTTTAACTGTTTAAAGTAAAGCAACCTGCATTTTCCAGTAGAACTGATAATTATACTAAGTGAATAATTTAGAATTTTTTCTTAAACTTTAATTTCAGGTGGTGGCTTTAAAGTTTAAAGGGACCAGCGTTGCTCTGTGATTCTGTGCTGGGAAGCCGAGCTCACCACACCTCTCTTGGGTTTCAGGGGATACTCACTCCCGCACACTGAGCCACTGGGAGAGCTGTACAACCAGCCACTGCTGAAACAGGAGGCGGTGTAAATTTTGAAAATGATCCATGCTGTAATGTCATGAACCAGGAAGCTGGAATCCTTCACCAGCTCTTTATGCAAATATTTGGCTGCAGCTTGTGCTCAAGGACTTGGAAGGAGTGGGTTTTAAAAAATCTGCCTCATTGTAGAGTTCTCATTAACCCCATTCCTCCCCTGACTGGCCTGTTTTTCTGCCTCCCATGTTATCTCCCCGAGGTATGTTTACAATATCCTACTTGATATTATCTTTCTAGTCACGGGTTCACTTTCTACTTTGCTCCAAAAATACAAAGGAAGGCACCTCTCTCTTAGATTGCCAACAGCACAAAAATTCACCATCTACAATTTATAAAAACACATCAAGGTTATTTAAAAAAAAATTAATGGTTTAAAAAAAGGTAAATTATATCTTTTGATAAGTACTAACTCAAGTTTCCCTTTACCCTAAAGCCAAAACAAATGTGTATGTGTGTGTGTGTGTGTGTGTGTGTGTGTGTGTATTTCTGTGTGCTTGCAAATTGATCTGGCTGAAATAAGTTTTTTTAAACCAAATTTTCCAATCTGGCATGTACACAGTTTCTTCTGGCACTGCTTGAAACCTGGATATTTGTCTCAGTCTATAACTTCCACTCATGATTGCCTTCTTCAAATTTCAAATTGTGGATACTACCCTGACTTTATAACAAATTAAGAATTTCTTCCTGCTTTGTAATATTTGATACAATTAACTGTATCTTTGGCTTGAAGTTTCCCAGAGGCATCTTTCAACCACTGAACAAACTGCAGATCATCTCTTTTAAATGAGAAAGGTCTATACTAAGGAGCAGGCATAAATTATCCCTTGGTATTTGCCACCCTTGCCTACTGAGTATATTGTCACAGCTTTCCTAGAATCCCAGATCCTTCTGATGGCTTCTAGTGAGGGACTTTATATCTTGCTCCTAGAATTAAATTATATGGGTGTTGCTCCTATGTGCCTGAAAGGGCATAGGCCGATACAATCTTCCAGGAAGCACAGCAGTGCAGGCTTTACTCTGCCTGTACCTATAAGGCTTTACTCTGCCTATACCTATAAGGCATTGGTTCAGAAGTCTTGCTTTATTTCTTAGGAGGGAATTCAGAAAAATGTAGATAAGTCAAACTGCTCTAGGGAACAGAAACTAGTTAGATACACAAGTGAAATCCTTTACCCTTGCTTTAGCTGATATAGTTAGCTAACAAGGGAACAGTGGCCAGACCAATCTGTAAGGGCCCAACAGCAATAGAATCGCCATGCCCAAATGCAACTTCTCCAGGTGCAGTTGAAGCAGAAGTCCACCAAGGACCAAAGCTCCTTAATGAAAGATTATGATTTGGTATGAACATCTTAAAGATTTTTTTTTTCTCCAGAAGCGTTTTCTAGTTCCCTTGTACGTGGTTTTATTAATTATATAACAATCTCCCAGCTGAAGGGGTTGAAGTACCAGATTCCTGTTTAGTATGGTCGGATCTGTACAAAGATGAATTTTGGGAGCCAATAGGGGGCAAGGGCTTTTATAGTTAGAATAAGAAGACCCTGGTCCTACTTTTAGCTTTACCATTAGCAACTACAAGACTTTGAATTTTAGCTTTAATAGAGGTATACAGATTCCTGATCTACTTATCTTTGCTGGTAATGAGAACTAAGTGAAATAACAAGTGTACAAAAGTGCTTTAAAAGAAGAACCACTGTAAAGCCTTCTACAAATGTAAGAAAGTTTTACTGTGTTACCTGCAATTCTGCACATGGAGTTACTAACTTCTCCCGCTGTATATGCCAAATCACAGCAAGCTCACACCTAACTCTAAACTCTGAGCAAAGGGTGAGGGTGTGAATGAATATTACTAAATAGCTGGCTCTTGCTCCTTGGTTGGAATTTTATTTTAATTGCTTTTCCCAAATAATAAATAATGAAGGTTGACATTTATTGAGCGTGCACTATGTGGAAAGCATTCTTCTAAGAGCTTTATATGCAATAGCTCAATTAACCCTCACAAAATCCTATTCTCCCCAATTTAAAGATGAGGAAATGGGCAAGAGAGATGGAATAATTTGCTTGAGGATACACACCATGGAGCAGCTGAGATGTGAACCCAGCCCATCTGGTTCTGGAACTTGTGTTCACCACCCCTACATCTTTTGCCTCCTCCCATCTCGTGAAGTTGTACAAGTCACACAAACAGCACCAGGCACAGAAACTGTTGTAGGGGAGATGTGGGGAGAAGGACCTATCCTAACATAGGACCTATCCTAACAAGCCCCAGCGGTCAGATCCTACATTCATACCCAAACCAATCCCCAAGCAACTGTACCATCAAGAGCTTTCAGGGATAAGCTGCCCTCTCATGGGGGACAACCCTACCTGGTTTATTTGGTTCTTCTGCTACTGCCACCTCCTGAGTGCCCTTGGCAGTCTCATCTGCTTTAGGAAGGTGTATAAAGTATCAGGGAACCCTTATGCCTGCCCAGTTCGATTCTGTAAATACCTGGAACTACTTAAAGCTTTGTTACATCTTAAGAAAGTGGTTCTATATTCCAAGCTGTCTCTTCTGCAGAGACATGGCCTTTTTCTGCTGCGGAATTTCAGTGACTGGTGACTTACAGATAAGTGATCTCAGAGGCTGAGTTCCAGAAGAATGAGGAGGTGAATTTCTGGGGGAGATTTTCTACGGGTGTGTGAGGATTGCACATACACTGTCTTCGTAACACAATAACCACCCACTTACCTGCTGGCTACTCCTCTCCCTGCAGAGGACCAACAAACCTTTTATACTTAACTTTGATCATGGGGGATGGGCTCCCCCAAATCCTGAGCCCCACAGCGTGCCTTAGCTGTCCTCTGTGGTTTCCCCTGGTGCACTGAGATGAAACTGGGCACAGAAGTTATAAGAACAGCCGAGGAAGGCCAGGTTTGGGGATGGTGAGTGGGTGGGCCCTCGGGTGGCCTCTACACTTCCACAGACACAGGACTGATGAGGCCTGACCGGGGCTGGGGAGGGGCTGAAGGGTATGCTTACGGTTCCCCCCGAGGCTGCCTGGTGTGCCCTTCTTTGCTGCAACAGCTCCTTCACTGTGATCTTCACGCGGACACCTTGATATACCTTTGGTTTTTCTGGGGAAAGGCAACTGAGTCAGTGGTCAAATCCAAGGTTTGGGTGTCAGGCGATGGACTCAGGGGCCCCTTTATAGGCTATGTCACCTGAAGCCAAGTTTCTAGGTTGGACAACTCAAATAGAATGCTTAAAGACAGTAAAAATCCCAATTTCTCAAACGCGAAAGGATGAAGAGAGGCTGACCAAGTTTCAGGACCCCAGTGGGAACAGAACCTATGGAAATATGTGGCACCATCCACTCCTGGCTGGGCCCGGGTCCTACGCCAATAGCACACAGGTGTTTTGCTCAGGAATGTGGAGGTCAGTGCAGGGGAACTCACCACCTTGGCTAACCAAGTTGAGGGAACCTGGGGTTCTGGGCCCAGCCTGCTGGTCTGGGAGAGGGTATTTTGGACCTGGGGAGCCACCAGGGGCTGGAGCAGGGGAGCTCTCTCCAATCTAGAGCAGATGACCTAGCCCACCCCACCGCGATGTTCCCGCTGGTGTGGAAGTGCGAGTCCCTTCCTTGTCCACCACTCCAGGCGTGGCTTCTGTGGAGGCTCCGACCTCTACATGTCCTTGGTCTGGAAGCCAGCCTGGGGCAAACGGCGGGGTTTGGCCAGCTCTGTCCTGGGCCAGTGAGGGACCTGTCAGACTGACCTTAGCAAAGGGGCCAGGCCCGAGAAACTCCCTCCCTCTGTCTTTCCTTCTGCCATCTCTCCCTCGCCCCTTTTCTCCGCCTTTCCCGCGCTCCATCTTTCCCTCCTCCCTCCCTTGCCCCCGCTCCTGCTCTCCCCTTCTTCCCCTCTCTCCCCTCCTCCTTCCTTTCTGGTGCAGGCGTTTCTCGGCGGCGCAGCGCGAGCTCCGGGGAAAGCGGTCCCGGGCTCCCGACTACCGCGCGCTCCGCTGGGACGCGGCCCTTGGGAAGGGGCCGCCCCGGGCTGGCGGGGCCGGGCCGCACTGCCCCGGCTAGTGGGGGGCCCCCGGCGCGCGCCGGAGGGGTCCGCGGGAGGGATCCCTGCGCGCCGGGAGCGGGGGTAGCTTCGGCCCCGGGCCCCGAAGAGCCGCAGTGAGTAGGTCGGACCGGCAGTTAGGCCGAGCCGGGCCCAGTGAGCTTTCGAGGTGGGGGTGGCATCGGAGCCCAGTACGGCTCCGGCCCTGACCTCGACCCTGGAGAGAGCGCCCGGGAATCGCGCGGGGAGGAGCCGGGCGCGGAGGCTGGGGGCGGCCGCGCGTTCGTCTTGGGCGCCTGTGACAGCGCCAGCGCCTCGCCTGGTCACTGCGGGGACCGCAGCTGGACAGCAGGGACCCCCCAAGGCTAGCTCCTGGGATAGGGTCTCCCCTGGAAGGGGGGGTGCGCTATCTCTCGCCTAGACCAGGGGAATCCCATGTCCCGCCCGCAGGCGCACACGCCCCGCGCCCTCTCCGCGCTCCAGTCGTCCCCCAAGCCCCCACTTCGGGGCTCCGCGGGTAGCGGGCGCGCCTCGGGGGTCCATACACGGACCGCCACTGCCCAGCTCTGTGGGGCCGGCGCTCTCTGCTGGCGTCCCGAGCTCACGGTGAGCCTCTAGCTCCCCCCGCCGCCGCTTCTGGTCGCGCAGGGTCCGCGCCGAGAAGTGCAGGGACACAAAGGGAAAAGTGGGAGGGCGGGCGGGGGCCTGGGGTACGCGGACGTCCGGAGCGGCCGACTCGGCCACTGGACCTCTGCCCTCGGGAGCAGGTGCCGAGTAGGAGCGGCCACGGCGTGGCCTGCGCCCTCTCCGGGTCCCCGGCCCTTACTCGCATGCCCTGACTTTGTGCCTCTGTGTTCTATGCAGGAAAAGCTGTGGAAATACACCCGGATTGAAATGCCCCTGGCTCCCGGGACCCGACCCCTGGAGAAGCAGCTGAGTTACCCGACATCGTGGTCAGCAGGAGCTGGGTCGGTGGCTGGATGCTGCAGCTGCAGGGACTCGGCGCCTGGGAGGGCTCCTGTGCCAGGAGAGAAGCAGAGATGCAACATTTTTAAAGTTTCACAAAGCATCCGGCTGCACCCAGGTCCCTGGAGCAGGAGACAAACAGAATTAATGTTTTATACCTTCGGGTATAGGTTTGAGTTTTTTCCCCCTCATGCCAAGTATTTAAAACCTCTAGAAACCCATGATTTGACAATCAATGATTGCGCGATACTTTCAATTTGAATATTCAAAGGCTTAACAAAATGGACTATCTTCTGCAGAAATCCTGCACACAAGCACCCCACAGAGAGTCCAGAGAAACAGGGAGTGAGACCCCTGTGGGTGCTGGCCCCTGCTTTTACTGTATTTTGAGCATTTTGTCCTCCTTCCCACAGACAGAGCAGGTGTCCTCAAAGATGCTCTGTGTTTCAGCCTCAAGGGCAGCTCGGGAGCCATGAGGGATGTAGGCTGCCCCCCCAGGACCCCCTGAGCCAGGCTAGCTGGCCACACTGATTCCCACATTCCCAATCTCCATTTTAAGGGGAAATCTCAGGTTTTGGGGAGTGAACATGGCAGCCGGTGGGTGTGGCACAACAAGCAGTGACTCTGGGCCCAGACTGCAGGTCAGAGGCCCAGTAGAGGCCTTAGCTCTGTGCCTGTCTCCTTCTGGCCCTGCCTGGCCCATAGCAGGTTTCCCTTCCCTTTTCATCCCACTCTCGTCCTGGGCCCCACACACAGGGGTTTCGCACAGAACTCCTGCCGGTGGAGACCCTTTGCTCCTCCCCATGGAGCTGGGATACCCACGGGCTTTGCCCTCTGGAGATTTTCTGACACTGTTTCATCACTGCACTGAGAAGTTCCCTTTTCTTCTCTTTTCTCCCTCTAGCGTTACCCTGCCTTTTTGCTGTAGGAGCACATGTTAGGAAACATTGACAAGGTGGCTCCTGCTCATTTTAGCTGAAAGGATGTGGATTTGGGTTCAAATCTTCTCACTTTGGGGTGAGAGGTAGAAGGGATTTGAGGTCAGGCAGCCCCGTTGGTCCAGGCCTGAGCCCCTCACCAGTGCCTTGGGACTGTGCTGGGTCATCTTCTCCAAGAGCTTGCTCTGCCCCTTCTGTGTGGAGGATGGAGGAGACAGGAGCGGTCAAGAAAGAGAGACAGTGCTAGGCCAAATCCTCTTGTAGCCCCTGCACCAGAAGACAGAGGGCAGGGTGGGGCTCCCTTTGCAAATAACCAAGATATTCCCAGGATACGAGACAAGGTGATGGTTATGGCCCTCTGCTCTTTGTTCCCTGAGTTCTCTGAAATGCAAAAAGTGCAGTTAGGCCTCAGGGGCCTCCAGAAAAAGATCTTAATGCCCTCAGATGTGTCGGATGCAGGGTGGGACATACAGAGCCCAGAGAGAAAGGGCATCTCTGAGAATGACAAAACTGATGGGTAGGAATTGCTTGGCAGCTGAAGCCGCATCTCTGCAGGAGAGGATCAGGGATGAGGACACCTGAGGTGACCTGGCAGTGGAAGGAAGGATGGGGTGTGTTTGTCCCTATCCCAGCTGGAATCTATCAGCTGCTAGAGCCTGTTTCTCCAAAGGCCCCTGATCCTGGGGTTTCCCTGATGGAAGACAGGTCTAAGGATCAGGGCTGAGGAGGAGAAGGACTGTGGGAGTTGAGAAAGCTTCTGTTCCCCACCTTGTGTCCCCTTCTCTGCTGTACCTGGGCACAGCCACTTGTGCAGGAACAGTGAACAAAGCAGCTTGCAGTCAGGGATGTCCTCTTGTCCTCATAGCTTCTAACATTACTTCTTTTCTCTTCTGCCCTCCTCCTTTTTGTTTTATTCTTATTTTTTGGTTTGCTTTTTAAAACCTTCCTCTTTGTCCTTTGGGCCTTTTTGTGTATTTTTTTTTTCATGTTTCATTTTCTCTGTCTCTCTTCCTATCACTGCTTTCATCCCTTTCTTGTCTGCGTTGCTGTTTTTCTCCCTGGTTCCCTGAGTGTCTCCATTTTCCCCTCTTCTGGGGTGCTGTCTCATTCTTTCTTCTCCTTCCTGACCTCTCCTTTCACATGGGGATGGCAGGAGGCCATTCAGTTTCCTTGGCAGCATCACTGAAGTTGATGCTGATGGTTGGCTACCCTGTGGAGAAGGCGGGCAAGGTGGGTGAGAGGGGAGCTCCCCCTTGGAAGTCTTGAGCTCTGTAAGGAACAGCAACGATCTATTTGTCCCTTTCTCCAGCAGCCTGTGCCTGAATTATGGCAGCAGTCTGGGGGCTTCTGTGTTGGCCCTTGTTGCTGGGATGGATACCCTAGTACTGTTGCTGGCTAGCAACTTCAGAACACTAAATTTCCCCAGGCCTGAGCCCTGTTTTGAGAGAGAAGCCCTGGTTTTTAGCCCAACATTAAGGAGTTTTGTTTCCTGTTGTTTTTATAATGACAAACCCCCAGCACAGGTATTTAAGAGCCAAGTGCCATGCTTGTAGAGGTAAGGGAGAATCCTTTCTAAACGGGTCCCGTGACTCTCCTTACAGATTTGCATGTTGCCAGGAGCAACCATGTCTACCCTGAGACCCCATAAAATTGGGTATTCCAAAAGAATAAAAGAATATTTAAATTGTCCTTTATTATTTATTGGATGTCAGGTGCTGTATTGTATAGCATCCCCATTTCACAGATGAGGAAACAGGCCCAGAGGATAAGCAGCGTGCCAGAATTACTGAGCACATGAATGGCAGAATTGGGATTCAAACTTTGAAGTCTAACTCCAAAGCCCCTGCTCTTAACTATCAATGTTGTCTTCCTAATCTTTTATAATGGAAGCTTTCAAACTTTTTGGACTTCAACCTACAATAAGAAATTCATTTTACGTGTTCTTGTATATAAGTAAAAATATATTTATAAAATAAACATTACGCAACAATGTACACTTGTGTATGTTAGGCACTCTGATATTTTCTGTTCTATTCCATCTTTTCAATTTGATTCTGTTTGTGCAAAATAGATGTTGGTTGGGAACCACTAAGTTGATTTAATGACCCACTAATGAGTAGTGAGTAGCATTGGAAAAATACTGTCCGTAAGACATGCAAACACTTTTCAGTGTTGTGCGAGCAGAAGTATTTGGGGGTGATGTTTTACCATTAGTACGTGTGAAGAGACTAAGAGTATCCTGTAAAGACTGGAATCACTAGAGCCCTGAAGAAGAGAGAGGCTGGCTAGAAGTGAGGGTGAGCTGTTAATTATGCTGATTACAATGCATGCTTCTCAGACTGGGAACTCCTCCCTCTTCTTGGGGGCATTGCCACCTCTCGGCTGTCTGCCCCGAAGTCCTGATAATCTCATTGGGGTTTTAATAAAAGACTGAAACAAACGTGGGGTTTCAACAGGCTCAATTGCTTGAAAATATAACACAGGAACTTGACATTTGGGTGTGGGAAGGGATCTTTGAAATGCTGAGAGGGACTTAGGGTCTTTTTCCAACATCTCTGCTGGTGGTTGTCCAGCCTCTGGCTCCATTGCTTGGCTGAGACCCTGGCCCATAGTAGAATCTGTGTAGAGGAAATGGAGCTCACTATTTGTAAGGCAGCCTGTTCCACTCTTGGATGGCTTTAAATATAATTGTCAATGATTGAGCCATAATCCAATTAGGTATTAATTGGACACCAACTGTGTACCAGGCTCGGTATCAAGCACCAGGAATACAAAGATACATAAACCTTGGTTTCTGCTATCAACTGCTCTGTTCTCCCACTTCTATACTGCTGTTTTTCTATTATGGGTTTTTTTAGTTCATTCATTGGTTTATTCATTTCTCTATTCATTCAATAAATCATATACTGGTTATCTACTCTGACCAGGTCCAGTGCTAAGCCTGGAGGAGGTATTATGCCCACCCCACCTTCACCCCAAGCCTTCTCTCTGTGAGCCTCACCATCCAGCTTCTCTAGTTTCTTCTCACAGCACAGTTTTTCAGAGCTCTGGTTTCCCCTGCCACTGAGCCAGAAAACTTTTAGTTTGTCATTGGCCTTCTTAAAGTCAGTTGATATCCAGAATGATAGGAATAGAGTAGATTTCTTTCTGAAGTTTTAAACTGAATATTTTAACTGAAAACTTTTGGCAGCATTTTATATGCACATGACACTGCAGAGTATTATATTTTCTCACCTAAATAGGAGATTTTATTAAACTTAGACACATGCACATTAAAAGACTTTCAGTATAAGGAAGAAGGGTAGATTATTCCCTCCAAATTTGACTACAGCTCTAAATTCTCTTTATTAATGCAAAGTTCTTTTGTCGCCTTGACTTTACAACACTGTTACCAAACCTTGTGGGAAATATCAAGTTCCAAAAACTTGAATACATGGAGGAAACAAGTACTTTTTGGGCCCTAGAGTGAACATTTGGTCCATATGAGATGACCAGGAAGACTATTATAGGAAGGTTATCTAATGAATTGTGTTAAGTCGACCTCTTCCCATAAGACATGTTCAAAGTTTTAACATTTCCTTAAGAGGTTTCCATGGGAAGCAAGCATTTGATAATTCATCATTTAAATAAGAAAAGCACCATCATTCACTGCTTGCAAAGTTTTTCCCTTTTATTATTTAAAATATTTTTATTATGCAATATTAAGACATACAAAAACATATGAAGAAAACTGGGATGAAAACCTGTGAGTATATCACCAAGGTTAAGAAATAATACAGTTGAGTGATATTGCATTTATGACTAAATTAATTTATTAAGAATTAAAACATTTGGATTATTCCACTCTAGATATTTGGTTAGGGAGAAGTTTAATAGGGACATCTATCAATTTTCCTAATGCAAAAGAGCTAATTTCTAGATAGTATTTATTTAGTCCCCATTGTTTTCCTCTTGGAACTCGTAACATTTTTTATTGTTCTTTTTTCTTATAATGTACTGACGATGACATTGCATATTGCAAACCCAGATGTCTAATTTATCAGAGGTTCTGATTAGAGGATACTTCTGTATCAAATGTCAAATGTAACAGGGTATCATCATTGGCAAATAGCTATAGAAGGCTTATTATTTATTTGGCTTGATCTTTAGGGACTCTAGTTCCTTATTTATTTATCATACTTGTTTTAATCACACTGGAGATAATATCAAACACTGAATAACTTTTATTTGTAAGACTTCTTAGCAATATATTATAGTCCACGTAGATACT